CGCGCTGCAGATCGGATAAACGAGAGATTCATATTTTCAACACTCCTGAAGCGGTTTTCCTACTACAAGCTAAGGTAATCACATTTGTTGTTTGGCCATTTGTTCGAAGAAGAAGCTATTATTCCTGCTATAGACTCCATAGGCTCAACCATACTCGGCCTGCGCTGCTGTACGTTCCCCCCCCCGAGTCTAACCATGGCTACATGCGCTATTCGTCTAGGCCCTCTCACTTTTGCCTGTTCCCTGAACCGCTGAGCGCGGATTTCGACCTTGGTATCGACGCGTGCTGCGCGTTGAAGGTAGCGCGGACGGGGTATAGCACGGCATGCTGGTACCATCACAATACAGCCCCGGTTTCCGTGCACATTCGTGAGGAGAAAGTGGCACTCTACTGCGTCTACGAAATGCTTGCCTCGCACATGATGGTAAGGACCGTCCCGAAGATTATTGCACAGTTTGTCTTCGAGTTGAACGGCAGGGAAGACGACAAAGGTGCTGAGCCAGTAACTTTTCATTGCCGTTACCTACTTTGGCTAGCAAAGAGGGCATAAGAAACGATACCCATAAAAGCCCAGGGTCCACCATGACGTCCAAAGAACGTTCCAATTTAGTCTGGAAATTACGCAATCCCAAGAAACGATCCCGATTGATCACCCTCGGGAATGGGATTTTTTCGACGTGAACTTCTCGAAAGAACGCGATTCTCATAATGATCGTTCAACCGCAGATCTTTTGGACCCGTTTCGATCGAGCATTTCTTAATGATCGTCGTTAGCCTGACCGATTCCTATCAGTGAAGTTTGTCAGGGATTGGAAGGGGTACAAGAAGATCATGAAATAATTTATGTAAACTCGATAAAACCGTCTTTTGCAAATTGAACAGAACATACTGAAACTTTTGTGGCTATATCTATGTACAGGAATGCATTACACCAAAACATCTGCGGCTAATTGGAAGCCTAGAGTTGAATCCAGGTGGCCATTCATCTATTAAATACTGTAGTCTAATGTCCTTCGGAAACAAGCTTGTCATAGGCGTCCAGTGTGAGGAAATCGCTCATGTGCTCCTCAAGGGCGAATTTCTCCAAGAGTTCAGCTGCTTCAGGAAGCCTGAAACAGTCATTGCAACTTCTTGTAGAGAACATGCCAGCTTAATGATCTTAACCTTTCCCGCGTTCGTGCTCCATAAACCTCGCGTGAAAAGACTGTCAGCTAGTGGCTCCCAAGGGACCAAAGGATGAGCTGGTTTGGAATAAGCTGCGCCATGTGGTTCTCGCTTCCATTGAGAATTTTGGGCAGCATTCATTTCACATGGAGTACACCAGAATGCAAGTGCCGTTCTCATGATGTTGCGTTGCGAAGAGTCTTTGCACTACCTGATCTGAGTATGACTCAGATCAGAAAAGAGATGAATCGGTTCTTGAATTCGCGCAATAGGCTAAAAAAGCAGCCGGAGGAGCAGCTACAATCTTACTACCCACAGATGTTGGGTTGTACTAAAGAGTTGGATTCGGCGCAGCGCCAGCCTTTCCTCCAAAAAATGTGGTAGTTGGCGACGACCGCAATTGGTGAAAGAGCAAGCTGGCTCCTGGCTCAGCCCTCCCTGAAACGCCCTGGCGCCCGCGGAGAACAAGACTGTGCCAGCCAGCCGCAGAAGTGATCTGCGCCAGCTTGGGATAGGTCCTGTCGCATGTTTCTTGTACTACGTGCATAACGTTGGTATGTACGGCGCATCTACGGAATCTGACTTCAATCCTTCTTCTCCTTTTTCTTCTCCTACCTTCAATCCCGCGTTGTTGCGGGTTCCGCTGGACTTGCTAGCACTGTCCCAAGCATCTCCTGCCATGATCTTGACTTCAGCGAGCCTTTTCCTCCCCTCTCTCGACCCTGCAACGAGAATATTGGGCTGGTTTCCACCCTTCTGACCTTCACGCGATACTCTAGCATGTTCTCTACAAGAAGTTGCAATGACTGTTTCAGGCTTCCTGAAGCAGCTGAACTCTTGGAGAAATTCGCCCTTGAGGAGCACATGAGCGATTTCCTCACACTGGACGCCTATGACAAGCTTGTTTCCGAAGGACATTAGACTACAGTATTTAATAGATGAATGGCCACCTGGATTCAACTCTAGGCTTCCAATTAGCCGCAGATGTTTTGGTGTAATGCATTCCTGTACATAGATATAGCCACAAAAGTTTCAGTATGTTCTGTTCAATTTGCAAAAGACGGTTTTATCGAGTTTACATAAATTAT